CATCTCATTGGCAATCTAACGCCTTTTGAGGCCGCTGCTGACATGCTTGGCTTGCTTGATCCCTTTCCTCTGATCATCCTTCTCCTTTCTGACAGACATCAACCTTAACTCTCCTAACAAAGGTTTGCTGTCAGACACCATGACCGACGTTCCCGTGGATCCAGCAGGAAGCCGAGTGCCGGCTGACGCCGCAGGGGCGGGGCTACCCGAAGGCTTGACGGAGGCCGAAGCAGAGGAGATCCAGAACGAGCTAGTCAAGGTGCGTCCATATTCGAGGCTTGCTGTTTATTGTATGTATTTAGCATCTGCATTGATTTACTAAAAACCATATGCAGCTGACTCCGCCCCTGAGGAGCTTATAAGCCAACGCCCCCCCCTGTATAGTCATCACACATGTACACACACTAATGGAAAGGTTTGCTCAGAAATCAGGTAACCAACCAGCAAGATTTTGGAAGCACCTGAAAGGACAGACGATCTTTATGCAGATAGTGGGAGCTGAACCAGGATCTCGGTGCTGCAAGGCTCCAGCGATGAGCGAAGGGAAGGTGAATGTCAGTTGGGAATCGTATACAGTAGCCGTCCTGCAGTTGGCCCACTTTGTCCTCCGTTCTACAGGGATGTGTGGCTCCAAGGAGGACTCTGTATTAGTGGAGATGGCGTCATCATCCGCTGCAGGCAGGAGGAGGCATTTCTTAAAGGAGAACTATGAGATGAGTGATTTCCACTCTTCTCCTCCTTTTAAGTCTCCTCTCCCCAAAGTTCCCCCGCAGTGATTGCTCAGACCATACATTGTAGCTTTGCAGCCAATGACCAGGCTGCAGCAGGGGCTAATCTGTGTCAGATATTTGTAAACACAGCCAAGAACTGCACAGACACCAGGATTTACACGACTGTCGCATCTCAGTCCAGCATCGGCATTGTAGTTTCACCACAGCTGAAGAGTCAAAGTTTGGCAACCCGTGCTGTAGAGTGTCACTTAAAACGGAACTATAGGGTATGTTTTTATCCCATAGTTCTCTTAAGGGTCACGGGAGAGCAGATTCTAATGTCCTCCAGTGACCCAGAGCTCAGTATATAGCGGGTTAGCGCCAGCTATATACTGAGCGCGACGCAGCCGTATCCCTGCAGGGAGCCGTGACTCACGGCTCTCTGCAGGGAGATGGTCGCAAAGTCAGCGAACAACGTTGTGTGTTCTCTCACTTCCCGATCTATAGAGATGACCTGCGACAGTCTCATTGCCACACGTCGGCTCGAACTATGAGTGGAAATCACTCGCCTCACAGTTCTCCTTTAAGTGACAGCGCTGGGGCTGCTGACATCACATCTTGGACACCGAGCAGCAGTCTCAAGCTTTTGAGTCCCTACACAAGAGTGGCTCCTTCAGGAAGATACCATGGACAGAATACATACACATATCATCTTAGGATGTGATATGTCATTAGCGGTCACATGTCATGCTTGCGTTCTGTCCTGTAGGTAGAGGAGGAAATCCTTACCCTGCGCCAGGTTCTTGCCGCCAAGGAGCGCCATGCAGCGGAGCTGAAGAGAAAGTTGGGGCAGACCACACTCAACCAGCTGAAGCTGAACCTGTCTAAGAGCCTGCAGGAGGTGCAGATGTCCTCAGCGTACGTGTCCCTTCCTTTTTATTTTCATCATTTTTTCTTTGTCGGCATTGCAACTTGTTTTTTATTCTATGGTGTTTTATTTAATATGTTTCGCCCTATTTAATATTTTTAGCATAAAAAAAAAAAAAAAATCTCACCATGCGACGCAGAAGCTTCTGTACGAAGCCTGGAGGTGTCCGATAAGGTTTCCATAGAGACGTGAGCGCTAAGATGTCCTCTTCAGCTTGATTCATGCTCCTTTTGGCCTCCGTGGACTGCAATTGATTTTGACCTCTTTCATCAATGTGTCAGTGGACGGAGACCAGTTATAGGCTATGAGGCTGCAGGACGCGCGTGCCATGTTTCTGCGGAAACGCGGTTGCTGGTTTCCCGGGCAGCGTACATCAGCTATTTTCATCGGAAGGCAAGCAGCATTAATTAAGTGATTAATGAAGGCCAGGATGTTGACAGGCAAAGGAAAATATATTCTCTAGGGATGCACTGATATCGAGTATTTGGGCGAGTACTCATACTCGCCCAAATGCTCTCGATGCCTGATACCGGAATTTGCGGAATGAGGTAATCGGCCAGCGAGTCATTACACGCTGAGTGGCTGGCAAGCCGGCTCCATGCTCCATCATCACCAGGGTGCATGGCGCTGGCCTCTCGGCCAATCAGGAAGCCTGGCGCCGTGTAATGACTCGCTGCCCAGCTCCCTCTTTAGTCGGGATGCTGGCCAATCATGAAGCCAGGCAGCGAGTCATTACCCGCTTCCTGTTCCTGATTGGCGAGAAAGCCAGCTCCGTACTTCCTCATCTTCACGGCCAATCAGGAAGCCGGGGGGGGGGGGGGGGAAGGGGCTGCCCCC